ACGCTCTTCAGAGGAATAAACTGGATTTCAGGTTTACAAGTAAAAGCAATAATGTCAAGATACAGTTTTTGAAAACCCATTCCAAATTCATGAAGATATTTGCCTGTAACAACTCCTGAAAGTGATGTGTGGGATTCTTTTATATGTATTTTAACCTAACTGCCAGTTCTGCTGTAATTATCCTGATAACAGGAGCTTACCAACAATAGGGGAAAAAAGTTGTCCAGGTGACACTCCATTTCAAATATTCTTGCATTTCTCTTTTCTAACAAAGTAATTAATTTAACAAAATAAGCAAGAATCCTGAAAGTTGAAGCTTTTATGTAACTTACCATGCTGTTTTCATAGTGGACTGTGTAGAAATCTGAACATGTCATTCCATTTAAGTGTTCAAGTGATCAGTATTTATTGAAAATGTCTGTATATTCCAGCTGCAGAGTCAATGGCCTGTTCCTCACTCGTAGCGCATGGTCTTTGTTTTTTGAAAACAGTTTCCACACTTAAAGAACGTAGTAGCCTATGACTTCATCATTATTGTAGAATTTTAAAAACGGCACAGTTATGAAGAAAAATAAACTCTAATGGTGATTACTGAGTGCATTTATTTCAGTTGGGAAAAGGGGCTGGAAACTTGAGGTTCTCTCAGTTTCCATGGCTGGTGGAACTCCCTAGAGCAGTGGGGGGAGATCCGCTGCCACCCTGCAGCTCGTGCCACAAGCCCACGCTTGCGATGAGCTGCTGGCTTTGAATGCTCTCTATCAGTGTTAATTCTGTGGAGACAGGAGGGACCTCTGAGCTGCGGGGATGTTACGGCCTTGCTCTTGCATCCCTACAAAGGCTTCTCTATGGAGGTGGGGTGCTTAAGCATTTGTTCGTGCTGTTTCAGTCTCTTATGTAACTCTGCTTTACTTAACTGGGATTTTGAATTTCTTTTAATTACCTGAGGGGGATTTGTGCTTCTAAGATTACTGGGACCTGTGCCTTCAGCAGGGCCAGGAAGCCAGCTCCGTTGCGGTCACTGTCTCTGGCTGCCTCCCTCCCGTGATCACTCAAGAGGCTGCTCGGTGGGAGAACGCTGACCAGAGCAGGGCTTCGCAGGTCCTGCTGTCCGCGCCCTGGTAAGACGTGTCGGCTGCCGCAGCCCTGCTGCTTTGGCTGCTTCTGGGTATAGCAATAATTTGTGCCTGGCAGCTTGGGCTGGGGGTCCTAAAGCACTATAATATGTTTTCTTTTGTACTTGCCTGTCCCAGCTGCTGAAGCCTTGGCTGTGCTAACCTGGCCTCCAAGCCAGCATGGAGAGCAGTGTGCTCTGATAGCTTTCTGGCGGAGCTGCTTTTTGTACTTGTCAGTTGTTGCCATGCTCCATAGGAGGGCTTGGTTAAAAGTATCGAGTTCCTTCCCTTTCCTACTTTTAGCCTTTACGAGAAGGGAGCACTGTATGAAACCAGCACAAGGAAAATGGTACTACATTTTTCGTGTGTCTGCCATGCAGAAGTGGCTCTCCCGCTCCCCCTGACGTGATACTTAAAAACGACTTGCTATGTCTTGGGCAATACGTGAGGTTTCCCACGTCTGCGGGATTACAGTTGCGGAGAGGAGCCGAGCCAAGAAGGAGCTTTACAAGTTTGGAAGATGGAGATTGGAAAGAGACCAGGCAATAGATACAGAAAGGACAAGGATAAATGAAAACTTCAACAGATGGTAGTGGAGACTGCCTTGGGCCCAAAGAGGTCCTGGACACTGCCGGTACTGCAGGGCTGTTACAATAAATTGGGGAAGGGGGAGCGGGGTGGGACTGGGATTTAGCTGCCAGGGGAAGGCTGCGAAGAGTTACAGGCAGGAGCAAGGAAAGACTCACCTGAAGGAAATCCTTCCCACAGCGGCAAAGCTGTGCCTTTTGAGCAAGTCCATCAGCCCCAGGAGAGCAGGGGAGCCGTGTGTTGGCAAAGGCAAAGGCCTTGTTCTTTCCCTATGCCTTATAGCTTCAACTGGCTTTCTTTAAAAAAAACAACAAGCACAACACCCACACACACAAACAAACCAAAACCAGCTGGTCTCTTGGGAGCATGTTCCACAAGAATGGGACTTACCTGTAGCTGCTTTGCAAAAAAAATCTTATCTGATTAAAAAAGGGGAGAAGAAAAATATTTCACAAAAATATTAAGGACAAACTAAGTTGTTTATGTGCAGGTTTAACCCCATCATATCCAGCCCTGCCAGGGGGGTCACATGCTATTCACAGCCTCCTCCTAGGAGGAATAATGAGCTTCTTAAGCCCCTGGCAAAGGCTCGTCCTCCTGCCAGTTAAGAGTAGCGCAGAGAGAGACCTGAAGCAGCATTTCAGTGCCCTCCAGGGTGGCTGTAATTAAGGATTACATCCTGGACAGAGGTGAGTTGCAGGGAACGAAGATTACGGCTCCGAAAGCAGAGCATGGCATTATTTCTATGCTGGTCTGGTATGATACCAACCAGACTATGTTCTCAAACCACCAAGCCGAGGTGTTCAATACACCAGAGTGGCCGTTCTGTCCTGTGAGCATCCTGCTAGCTATGGAAGCGCTGCACACATCTTACGGAGAGAGCTTTATTTCATTTCTGTTTCCTTAGACTAAAAAATGAAGCTGTATACATGGAAACCAAGTACATTTCTCATGGACAAGTGAATAATAAAGGAGCACGTGTGTGAAAAGAAAGATAAGATACAGCACAGCATGTTCCTGCAGAATCTGGCAGCAGCAGGACAACGTGGAAGCAAAATAGTTTGCTGACAAACTAGAAAGACAAGGTTATTGATGCCTCTCAGAAAATACTCCCACAACAAACTGGAGCCTCAAATCCACTTGGCAGACAGATGGCACCGGGATTCTTTGATACCTGATGGAAACGCTTTGCAGTGACTTTTCCCATGCCAGCCTTTTTCACCACACTTACAGAAGTGTGTATGGCAAGCTTTGTTCCCGAAGAGTCGTATGTACCACCTGGGTTCTGCAGAAAACATCTGCTGAAACAGTTGTAAGCAAAACTTGAATAGTCTTTATTCCAAGTTGTTTTCTTTGGGTCACTCTGGTCTCTCACTCCAGCTGCTTTGGCAATGGCACCTGGGCAACAACAGTAAGTATTAGGAGGAGGAAAAGTCTCAGTCTTATTTCCCAAACCAGGCTAGTTTAATACAAAACTTCAGAAGCTGTAAAAAGATCAAAAATACAACAGCTGGGAGCTCTAAGGAGCTCTGGTTGGGAATTTCTTTTGTTTGTAATTCCCTACTTGCTGTTTGTGATGCTTAACACCCAGTAAATCAATTTGCAAGCAGTAAGTCCCGGCGTGGAGCAAACCAACACCCAGCTCAGCTCAAGCGGTAAATCCCCATTTTAGAGATGAAGCTGAGGACATCAAGGCAAATACAAAGTTAACCAAGATCATGCGGGCGGGTGAGAATAATACCCTAATGCCCCAAATACAAGCCACATGGCCCGACAACAGAGGACAAAAAAAAAACCCTAAACCAAAAAGACACCAGACATAAAACAACCCCAAGCTCCCAACCCGTGTCCATTGCTTCACGTTCCCACGGGCTGCGATAGCAGTTGTTATCTGGCCCATTTCAGAGGGGCTGTGAATGGATCCCTCTGCCCCAAGCCCCATGGCCCTCCTTTATATAACGCTCTGGAGGATTTGGGGGGGAATGCCTGGGTTTTGCTGTTGCTCCTGGGCACCTTTATTAATCATTGCTGTGCTGAGTGAGGGCACCGCCGTCCTCCCTCTTCCCGAGAGCAGGGGAGGCAGCAGCGATGGACCAGCCTGCGGTCACAAGCACCATCTTGCTGTCTGCCGATAAACCATGACCTTTACGAGATCAAGTCTTGTTGCAAAACCTAGACGGAGATCTAGAAAGGCCAGAAATGCCCTGAGGAGAGGCCCTGGCTGCAGCCAAGTCAGACTGGCCAGCAGAAACCACAGCCCCAAAGCTTGGTTAGAGGGCAGAACGTTCACGTTAAACCTGGACCAAGGTCGCCACAGGACCTGCCCCTGCCAAAATTTTGGGACAAACTATTCTCTCTGGAATGACTGAGGGAATTATTATTTCTGTGTAGCTTAAAATGAAAGCAGAATGCGTCCCACTATATTGAAATGTCAATATTCAACAAAATATGAATTACAAAATACTACTTGACCATTTTTAATCGCCGAGGATTTTCTGTTCTCTTCCTTTAGCCCTAGCAACACAAACAGATGCACCAACATCACTAGCTACAGACAGATCAGTCAGCTTTCCGTATTTCCTGAATAATGGTACAATGCAAAGAAACATATTGTTTCAGGAAAGCAAAAGGTTCAATCTGTTGGCCAACATTTTGAGAAGTGGCCCATGAATTTGTCACCCAAGTAAATGCATCACTAGGAGGCAGTTAGCGCAGTTTAGGACTTCCCTCTCGCACTAAAACTTTTAATTTCATTTAAATCAGACCCACCAAAGGCAGTCCCGGACCGCGGCTGCACCGCAGACCCGTCTCGCTCCGCGCAGTCTGGAGTGACCTTGGTGGGTTATTTTGCTGCCAGTGGTTCAGTTTGCCCTATAACAAATGGGCCAAGTGACGGTGACGGGGCTGCCAGAGAGAAAAACACGGTTTCCGTGGGGGACTGAGGACAGACTACTGTGAAAAATAATACCTGTTGCTCTGCGGAAGCAAACACCTTATAGTAGCGTTTGCCTATCGTAACTAACGCGCTGTTACTAACACGCTAGCGATGACTTTCTGTGGTTTTTGTTTCCCTCCCGAGTGAGCCTCCCTTCCTTCCCCTGCTCGGATGCAGACAGGGATGCAGGCGGCCGCAGCCTCGGGAGCGCGCGGACAAGCCCGCTTCCCTCCCCGCCGTCGCTCAGCCCTTACCGGTTTCAGATAAGCCACGTTACTCTGGCGAATGTCGTTCAGCAGCTGATCTCTCGGGGTTATCTCGACAAGGGGAGGCGGCCTCCTCCTGGGAACCGGTTTAAGCGTTTTGATGACGTCTTTGAGGTTGGTTTTCTCGGCGGGTTCCACGTACTCCGCATCCTCGGCTGGGGCAGCGGTCCCCCCAGCATCTCCCACATCCCCGGAGGCAACCCAAGTCCGTTTTCCAGCATCGCTATCAACTCCCTCTGCTCCTTCATTTGCTGCTGCCTCTGCCCCTCTTGCCTCTTTTGCCTCTGCTTGTCCAGGTTTCTGCTGAGGAGGTTGGTCACCACCATCCTGGGCCCCGGCAGCTCGAAGTGGTACCCCATTTTAAGGAGGGTGGCATTGGCTTTCAGCAGCCGGGCAATCTCCATCTCTGCCTGGTGGCCCAGCATGCTCCGCTGGTTGTGAAAGCGGAGCTCCGTCAGCACCTCGTTGTACTGCAGGCATCTCATGATAGCAACGATCCCTTTGCCAGAGATGCAATTAGAATCGATGTTCAGGGTGGTGATGCTCCTGTTCTCCCGCAGCATGTTGGCCAGCGCGAACGCCACGTTGTCGTCGGCCCCCACGTTGGCCAAGCTGAACGTTTTGACGTTCTTGTTCTTTTTCATGGCGTTGACAAAGTCTATCAGCATTTCTTTGGGGACGTTTTCAATGTTGTTCAGGTTGAGCTCTTTCACGTCCGGGTTGTTTTTCCGGACTTTCTCCAAACTCTCTTCTAAATTGGTTTGATTTCCTGAAGGCCTGGCGCTCAGCTTCATGAAGCTGGTATCCAGTGCCAACTTTTTTGGGATGTTTAATTTTGATATTTTCTTTTCATTTTCATTTGGCTTTTCTGTGATTTCTCCTGATTCTGTGCCTGGTTTCTTACTCATCTGATCGCTGTGCTGGTTCTCATTGGTGTAAGTCTCCTGTGTTTCCAATTCAGTCTCATCTTCCTCTTCATCCTCTTCCTCCTCTTCTTCGTCGTCATCATCATCTTCCTCCTCTGCTTCTTCCTCCTCCTCCTCACTCTCTTTATCGCTTCCATCTTTGTTTGTCTCCTCAGCCCACGTTCCCGAGTTGGACAAGTGCTCGTTTTTATAACATCTCTCTTTCCCCTCTGCTCCTGGCACCCTCCCGCCGACCGCCTCGCCGCTGCCGCCGGCCTTTCCTTCTGCCTCCTCCGCAGCGCTTCTCTGAGGAAGACAAAACCTCACAGCTGAAATAATTGAACACAGCTCTGTTACATTAACTTTCTGATAAAACAAACATGTAGCGGCTGGATTTAGATACCTCTATGCCCACACATTATAGAATAATCCTTGAAAGTTTCACTGCCCGTAAGTCAGGGCTGTGCTGACTTGCTTGGGAACACAGGAACAGAATCACAGAATGGTCGGGGTTGGAAGGGACATCTGTGGGTCATCCAGCCCAACCCCCTGCCCAAGCAGGGTCACCCAGAGCAGGCTGCACAGGACCTTGTCCAGGCGGGTCTTGAATATCTCCGGAGAGGGAGACTCCACAACCTCCCTGGGCAGCCTGGGCCAGGGCTCCATCACCCTCAGAGGGAAGAAGTTCTTCCTCATGTTCAGACAGAACTTCCTCTGCTTCAGTTTGTGCCCATTGCCCCTTGTCCTGTCGCTGGGCACCACTGGAAGGAGTCTGGACCCGTCCTCCTGACACCCACCCTTGAGATATTTAGAGGCATTTCTAAGGTCCCCTCTCAGCCTTCTCTTCTCCAGGCTGAACAAGCCCAGCTCCCTCAGCCTTTCCTCCTAGGAGAGATGCTCCAGTCCCCTCACCATCCTTGTAGCCCCAAAAGAACAATTGCTCTTAAAGTGGCTGCTAACCCGTTTCTCATCTTTGCCTATTAAGCACACTGACGATTAAACCCTGTACTTATTTAATGCTATGTTAAGGGGGTCCTTGAACCCTTCCAGGAGTTAACGGTCTCTGGTCCAAAGTCTGTTTCTGGATATTTTTTGTCTATTTTATTCTTTCATTGACAAGAAAGAAAGTTTGTTTCCTACGCACCAAACCGCTGGAAATCAGTGTTAACCTTTGGCTGTTTGCTCGGCCCAGGGGGGAGCGAAGAGGGTACCAGGCAACAGCAGCGGAGGCACCCAGCATGTGAGACAAGAAGGCTGCCTGCTCCGGTACCTGCCAGAGCATCGCAGCTGGGGAAGCACGTCGCTGAAGACAAAGCGAAATATTAGCTCAGCTTTATTTTCAGTCCAGAGATAGGAAACTGGACTCTGCACGCAGCTGCTGCAAGGCAGTCAGGCTTCTAGCATCAAAATAAAATAAGTTGCAAACTTCCACCATCTCCAGAGACTCTCCAAGCTGAGGTTTTTTTTTTTTTTCCAAGCATCTTTCTGTGGTGGATCCTCCAACACTACGAAATGCGAATAAAGAGCAAGATATTTTCCCAAAAGATTTGCATTAGGTCAGGCAGGGCACTGTCATGGCTTGTGCTTCACCGAAAGTTGGAGAAAATGGTCACAAAGCTACTGCTGCCCTCGGGGCTGTGGGAGCGGATGGGTTTAGCGTGACTGTGAACGCAGCAGGCAGCTCCACACTCAAATTCCAGATTTAACCTCAGAAGCTTTAAAAATGATTGTTTCTTTGAGGGTAAAAGTGTTGCTGGAGGGGAAAAAAAATCCCACAAATTTCACCCCCTTTCCAGAGGCAGCCCGTGCAACCTGCCCTGCCAAGTCCGAGATGTACTGTGCTGTTGTGCATTAGCAAAACCACTAGCGTTTAAAAAAAAAAAAAAAAAAAAAAAAAACAATTTACCTAAAATTAAGCTGGGTTCAGGATGTGTTTCATCAGGACAATTTTGTTTTCTATTAGCCTATTTTTAAGTGTGGCCCTCATTCAAGCATGACCTTAACTTTATTTCAAAGTCACAGTGGTAGTAGAATAAATTTAAGTATTGGAAGGGCTTGGACTAGTTCATGGAGTTTGCATGCTTCATCGCTACTGAACGTTTCACATTGTTAAAATAAAATGTTTTGGGGTTTTGTCCAGTATGATATTAAATACACATGGTTAATGTAGCCTTTTATGGAAAAGTGATCAGGTGTTGTTCCTTAAAACAAATTTGAGTTACATGCCCCAAACGGATTTTATGACAATTTCTCAGTGATTTGCTTCACTGAAATAGAATTAGGATTTTCTTGTATTAAAAAGCTTAAGTAAACTTTCAGGAAAAGTAATTAAAAAATTACTAAAGGAAAAGTAATTTAAAAATTACTAACTCTGATGTCAGTCCAAGCCGGATCCTGACATTGCTGAGGCTTTTAGGATTAACTTAAATTTGTTTGTACCATACCTTACGTAAGGGATGGAAGCAGAGGCAGGTTAAGGTATTAAAGCTATAAAACAGATCCCACAGCAGATGCATAATAAATATTTGTGATTTTTTGCTTGTTACCTCAGAGGGCAAGAGGGTGACGGGAACTCTCTCGTCCTCGAGCATGCGTCTGGATGCCTTCTGCCAGTACAGGTAGTCAACCAGGGACCTGTGGTCGAAGCTCCCCGTGGGGGGTTTCTCCGTCTGATCCCTCTGTATCATCCCGGTTGGGACTTCGGGGTCCGGGGCCATGACTTCCATCTCACACTGCAGCTCCTTCAGCTCCTCGGGGGACAGGTTTGCCAGGATTTCATCTTCGTCGATGTCCTCGGGACACACTTCTTCGGAGTTTTGGCTGAGTTCAGACATGTTCTTTCTTCTCCCTTTCCTCTATTGCTTCTTCAGCCTAAAGAGAAGGATAAAATATAAAGGATTTCTTCCCCCCCCACCCCCCCACTAGCAGCAGTTCATTCAGTTAAACCGACAGCTTCATGTTTTGGTCATGAGGAGCTGTGGCAGCTCTCGGTCTCAGTGCAGGAGACAGACTGCGTGGCAAAGTCTATATTAAGCTGCGCTTGGCTGGATAAAGAGAATTTATGGCGATGCTGCCATGCTCCATTTTCAGCAATGGCTCAGCTGTGCGAACCCTTCTGAGGTGTCAGCGCAGCTGGTGCGCGGCCCGTTGAGGAAGGTGGGGGACGGCCATTTTCTCAAGGATTCCGGGGGTTCTGCGCTGCTCCGTGCCGCACCTCGCGTGTGGATGGCGTGACCTTAGCGGTACCTGCGAGGTGTGCGGGTGAAGTCCGGCACCGCGGGAAGAGTCAGCACAAGGTCTCTGTACCCATCAGTCTCAGCCATCTCCACAGGGCTGGGGACCGCGGGCTTTTCGCTGCCTGTAGGCACGTCTGAAGCCCAGCTGAACAGTGCAGGTGGGTTTGGTGGGAGTGCAGCCACCGCGTGACGGATGAGCTCTCCCAAACGCCAGATCCTGGTTCAGGTAAAATCCTCCAAGATGGAATAGGGCAGGAGAACGGTCCGTCCCACACACACCTTGGGCTCGGGGAGGAGGGTCCGCGCGGTGACGGGCAGCAGCCCGTTGAAGCAGCCTGAGCAGCCACGTAGGGAGCATTTCCCACAGCGCATCCGTGCCCTGCTCCCACCCAGTGTGCCCCCGGGCAACGCCAAGGCCCCGGTCCTGGCCTGGCCCGTCTCTGTTGCGGACGTCATTTGCACTGCCAACAGAACGTGGCTGACAGTTCTTCTCAGATTCATCCTTTTCCTACGTTATTATTTTATTTTTTTAAACAGAGCTAATAAATAACTACAAAGATTTACTTCCCTAATATTCATAGAACAGATGCAACTACAGAAGATTGCCTGAAATCCTTTTTTCATTGCGAGTCCGTTCCAGCTATGAGGTACCTCCTGCTTTGTTCAGAATATTTTATAAACTTCTAAATTTACACGGCGAACCAGAAAGCCGCATCTCCGACACCACCGCGCTCACGGCTCCTTTGTACAAGCAGAGGAGCGTGGGCGGGTAATTTTTCCACTACAGCCCCATTTCAATTCACCGCGGTTTGGGCTGTTCACTCGATTAAGAAGATTTCCTCTCAGAATTTCAAATGTTCTTTGCAGTGGACATCAAAACAAACCCTCCCCTTGCAAATGCATCTTTCCTAGGAAAGAAACCGCAGACGAGCGGCTGGGACACCAAGCCCCGCCACTCTTTAAGCCGAATGTCTCGTTCCAGTCTCAACCAAGCTCTGCTGGAGTCCGCCAGCAGCAGAATCATCTCTGCACGACCATGGTTTCTCTTTGCTGTGTGTTGTAACAAGAAACACGGTGTCCAAAGCCCCGTTAACCTCTATTACAAAGCCATAAACCAAAGGTCCTCATCTAATTAACGCTGCTGCACAGCGGGGAAGAGGGCAAAAATTTAAGAACGAAATAAGTGGTACAGGAAAAAACAACAAAAACCCAAGCCAAGAACGTAACGGCTCTGTTTGCCCCTTTGGTATTTCAGGGGACACCCTTATTTTATATTATGCAGTAGCAAGCACAACAGCAGACCCACACATCAATCTATCTAGTCTAGCAGTCTTCATCCCCAGCGATTGCTGCCCATAATAGAGTCCATAAATGGTTTCCTGATGTTATCAAATAAATCAGTGCTCTTCGGTAGCTGGTATGTTATTCTCCCAAACGATGCTGTTTGGGTCACAGAAGTTGTCTATTCGGTGGTTACTTATCGCTTGCTAATTTCTTGACTGTAAATAAAGCCCCTGGCCAGCTTCTTATATTTCCATGGTCTCCAGCCAGGCCATCTTGGGCCATGGTTTATCAGTTCTGCAAAGTTAAGTAGGGTCAAACTCATGAAGTCCTCTCGAGAAGGAAAACAGGGATACCGAGAACACTATCAGGTATTTGAAAAGCAAGTTTTCTTCTAAGTAGAAATATATCACTTGTCCATGCCGTGATCAGGAAACACTACACTTCTGGGAGTGATGCCTCCTCCATCAGATGCAGAGCGAAGGGCCGCCTGGTGACACCTCTCCTGGTGACACTGGTGCTAATCCCACAGATTTCCAAGATGGGTATCACATTTTGCCTACTTTAGGTCTCCTCCATAAATTAACCTCGAGTACAGGATTCACTTCCTTTTCTAACACGCTGCTTAGTGTTTTGGTGCCTGGAAACGGCACATTAGGGCAACAGACGACACCCTCCAGGCTGGGGACGCGCTCACGGCCAAATCTAGAAGTCTCTTCCAAGGCAAAACTCCCACCTTCTTCCCAATAACATTTGCGGGCGTCCCCCTTGGAGCTTTCCAAAATAATCACTCATTCCTCAACCTTCCTTAAGACAGGAAAGCCACCTCCATCGCTCACACTTGCTATTTTCATGCCGCTTTGACGCTTGCTCAGGAATCCCCGGACTAATAAGCTGCTGCACGAGGTGCTCTGTTACCGAAGAGCAGCGAGCTGTGCCAGCGGCGACGCTCAAAGCACGAGCAGAAGACAAGAGGTACCTGCAGCGAGCACAAAGCCATCCCTAGGGGTGGCAGCTCAAAATTCCTGCTAAGTAGGTACCTAACAAATGTTCAATAACAGCACTTTAGGAGCAAACCGGTAGCAGAAAAGGTCTGCCCTTGGTAAGGAACAATTCGTACTCACCGCGTGCTGTTCCTACGGCAGGGACTCGCGTGTGGATGAGCTCCTGTGTGAAACCCAGCAGGCCCTCACGCAGGATGGTTTCACTTCATCGGTCTTTTTCTTTTGTGCATTTTCTTCAAAACTTCCAACCTAGCTCTCCGGAAAGCAAAAGGGTTGACAAGTTTTTAGCTCGTATGAAGAGAGGCCGAGCCCCGCGTCGCCGCTTGACACGAAGCAGGCCATCAAACCACGCTTCACGTGCCTAGAACGTGTTCTATTTCTAAGGTAATTGATGGGACACGTGCTGGTGCTGAGTGCTTGAGAGTAATTTCTGTGATATTGGCTCCCACATTTTTTCTTCTAAAACCCCGCATTTACTTCTCTTTATTACCAATCCACGGCATTTCCAAGTGCCGAGGCACTAACTGGAACGAGTCGGAGAATGCGCCTGTGTAACACAACCTCGCGTCGCTTGTACGAAACTCGCCGGCTCCATGGGGCAGTCTAAAATTGACCAACAGTAGCATACACCAAGCACGCCCAGCAACGCGGTGGAACGCGATACGGGGATTATGACGGGTCAGATGACGGGAGCTCAACGATAACAACCACGGAGGAACGGGAGCAATCGTAGAGAGACACCCTGTGGGAAAAACACCAGGGATCATCTCGGGGAAAAAAACCCACCCCACCACACTTCCAAACTGTTACAGATACACGTAGATCAGATTAAGCTTGTTGCTTAAACAGGGTAAGGACATCTGACTTTTGAAGTATTTGCCCAAGTCACTTGACACAGGGAGCTGCGAAGCGAAGCCCTCGTACGAAGCGGCAGGGGCTCTGGCGCAGGCATCACCTCTGTCGTGGAAGGAGCAAGCGGAGCTGTGTCTCCTGTTTCAGCAG